AAAATATAATATAAAACTAACAATTCAAATTCGACACCCAAAAATGAATAAATAATAAAGACAGACAAAGAGTGCTAAGTTATACCATAATGATGAGGCGTATCCCGAATTATAAAGTGATGAAAATGTAACAGAAGAGTTCTTAAAAATCAAAAAAAACAAAAATGAATATCGAAAAACTGGTAATAGGAACTTGAAAATCATATTTTTGTTATGAAAGTGTTATTGTTAGCACTTGTGCTGATGTGTGTCAAAGGAGACGACGACTTGTTCAACCCGTACATCCACACCAAGACGATGTTAAAGCGTTTCCAAAAAGTGAAGGACCAGAACAAGAAAAATGAGAAAGCACTTCTTCAGCTTGAGGGTAAAGAGAGAAAACTGTTGAATGTGTTAGATATAATGTACAGAGATATGAAGATAGCAGTATCGATGAAAGACAGATTTACACTTGAGCAAAAGGTTGGGAAGCTTCAGAAAGGATTAACAGAACTGAGACAACAAAAGAGAGCAATCTTACGTAAGATGAGACACTCTGCTGATAAGGTAGCTTCACCAGAAAGAGATAGATTTGTTAGAAAAGCAAGAATTGAGAAACGAATTGGACTTGAGACTTCCCTTCATTTGAACAGAGAAGTTATTGTCAACCAGAAGAAATTGTTGAAGGTTATCGAATTTTTCGCACATAAATATGCAAAGATGGCATCTGAAATTGCTGCAAGTAAAATGAACAAAGAAGTTGACAAGAAAGGTGGTGACATTTTGAAGGCCCAACACAAATTCAAAAAAGCAGCAAAACACGCATACAACAAATACTACAAGAAAATCGTCAAGAGACTCGAAGAAGCAACAGCTGATGGCGTAGAAACAAAAGACATTAAGATGGAGTGCAGATCAGCTATCGATGGCCTCATCAGAAGACTCGAACATCAATACCTCACTTATGTCAAATCTCGTAAAGAAGCATCAAAAGAAGCAAAAAAAGCAATCAAAAAACCACTCAGAAAATCGATGAAAAAACTCTCTAAGTCCTTCGAAAAGAAGGCTGTCAAGGCTGCAGCCCAAACCGCTCCCGCTAAGAAAGATGTCAAGGATGTCAAAGCTCCTCAAAAAACCCAAGAACCAGCTAAGAAATAAATGAGACACTAACATGATTTTGTTGACTTATGTTCTTCTTGTATTTAAAAACATTATAACAACCAATTTTTTGTGATAGTATAAATACTATAAAGGGCTTAAAAAACAGTTGGGATGGACTTTTTTGGTTATTTTTTAATTTATTTATAGTAAAGTGTAAGATTGTCTTTTTAAATTGATTTCCTTTTCCACGATTTTAATTAAAAAGAATAGGTTTTACAACAAAAACTATTCAAAAGGTTTTGTAGTTTCGATTTTTGAAAAGCAGTTGATATGTACAGTCGGTCAAGTAAGCCTATAGTACCTGATACAACGTTGTTATTTTCTCAAACATTGTTTATTCAAGAATCTTCTAATTTTCATAGACTCATAAAAATAGCAATCCATAAACTCAGAAAAATCACGCCACAAGAAACATTTTTTTTGTTATTAAGGGATGTTTTTGTTATTTGTGGTTTCCATTTTAAAACAACTTAAAATTCAAATTCAACTAAATTTGAGATCTTTTGTTTTCCAAGTCGAAACAGATCGTTTCGTCAAAACACTGGCAAAATAACAATCTGAAGAAGAGAGGAGCAGGGGTGAGTACCAACTAGAAAGAGAAAATGGTAGAATTCAAATTGAGTCGGTGTTTTTGAGGTATGAGTTGACTGTATTAAACTTGTTCTTTGCGATGAGTATAATAAGTATGAAGAGAGAAACGAAACAACAAACCAATGTCAGGGTTAAAGTGTTTGAAACCCCTTTTTACAGTTTACTAAAACCCTAACAATCTAAAAACAAATAGATTTTTATCATTATTTTATCTATTGAAATTTAACGGAATAATATATTGGACTATATATTATTTTTTGTACTTATTATTATCAAAAAAGCAAGTAAAACGAAATAATGAGTCAATTATCGCTTGCTTGACAGGCACTTGAAAAACCGCTGGGAATGGATGCACCCATGTTCAGTTGGTGAGTAAGTCCAAAGTGCATTTTTTCAGTTTGGCTTTGAAATGCATTTGTGAGCGAATGAGGAACCCTACAAGAGGGGGCGTGAAATAAAGGTGCAGTCTATTTTTGCTGAGAGACATTGAAAAGTGGTCTATTATAAACACGTGCTGGCCATATATTTACTATGTTGCTCGAGAGGTAATCGATTTGACTGTTGAGTATTTGTTTAATGGATGATTAAAAAATTGAAAAAAATATTAAGGAGTGAAAGGGGGTGTGAAAAAAAATACACTCGCGGGTTAGTGTTTTTGAGTTTTTTTATTTCTGCAAAAAATGAAAAAATATTTAATATTAGGTTCATTTTATTTGATAAATTCTGAGTTGTTTTTTGGTTATTTTGGCTTCAAAGAACAGTTTCGAAGTCAATCTTTCTTGATCCTCCTTTTATCATTCGGCAAATTTAGCCTTTACTTTACATAAAAAATAATACACAAATTTCAATAACAAACATCGGCATTTTGAAAAAGTCAGAGAGACTCTTGTAAACCTTGTTTTTTTGAATCAAATCGAGGAAAAGGAAAAAACAAAACATACAAAAACTATAATCATATAATCATTTAACTATTAAATTATCAAAAGCGGGTTTTTCCACCCCTTTGATAGTCAGGAAAAAACTTTTTTCAACCACAGAGTATAAAGTTTCGTATTTAAAACTCCCGATTTTAGATGTCGTATTGAAACCCAACTTTTTAGGAAAATAATTGTTTCATCGGCTATGAATAGCCTTTTTGTTACAACTAGCGGAATCATTTTTGTGCCATCAAGACAACCACAACAAGGCATATTTGTTCTTGAATTGTCTCGTTCAACTTCATTAAAAAACATACTCACCCGTATTAACTTCCGCGTAAACCAATTTGGAACGAACATCAACCCATTGGTCAAAACCGACCTAGTCAAGAATGTAAATGAGCTCAAAACGGCATCCGTCTATTTTTTCTTTAATTCCGTATAATATTGCAAAATAGACTCTTGTGTTTCTTCTGCGCGTTTTAGTTCCATAACTGGTGCAATTTTAGGCTCAATTTCGGGAACTTTTGTAATTATTTTGTAAAGTTGTTTGGTTCCTATTTTTTGCCGAAATTTTCATAAATAAAACAACTTGTTTCTTCTTGACTCGCTTTTTTGTTTTTCTATTTTAATAGCTTTTTGAATTTCCTCAATTTCTTTATCATTGAGGATCCTTTTTATTCCCTTTTCGGGTTTTTTATCCAAAATTTCTTCTTTTTTAATTTTATCTATTTGAGACCTCACACTTCTATTTTTAAAAGTACCAAAAAATTTCTAAAGCATTTGTCATTGAAAGATTTTTGGACTTTAAAATAATTGAAGTATTTTCTGGTAATATTTCCAAACAATATCTTACTTGATCTCGAAAATAAACAAAACGTGTTTTATTAAAATGTTCGTCAAGTTGTTTAAAAATATCAATAATAGAGGGAAATTTTTTTAAATACTCGATAATGCGAGTCGAGTGAGGTACTACGGGACCTTTCATGCTTTTGGAAAGGCTTTCGATTTTTTCGTCTCGAAATTTATATTTATACTTTTGATGTATCAATTGGTTTGGACATGAATATGTTTTTATGTTTATTGGTGTTATCATTGTCTTATATTGTTGTTTTTAATTTATATTCATTACTTTGTTGGTCAAACGTTTGTATTTTATTTATTTTGTTTACCATTCTTTATTCTAAAAAGAAAGTTATTAACTCTAATCAAATGTATGTTCAAGTTAGTTCGTTTTTAATATGTTAAGAAAAACATATCATAATACTTTAATAATAGTTTGATAAATATCACTTATATTTTAGATCACTAAAAACCTTTTTTTATGAGTTTTTAAAGAGTTGCTTTGTTTATAATCTTATCAAACAGTAACAAAACCAATTCTCTTTTTAATTATTAATAACTATAATTATAGTATATACTTGAACAAAAAATGAAATAAAACCATAAAATTACTTATAAAATGCAAGTAAAGTACCATCCAAAGCCTTTCAGATCTTTTTGATCGTTTTTATTTAACTTAGCAATACACGCCAATTTAAAGGATGTCATGTTGAAACTGTTTCACGATGTTTTTTCCGTCGAATTTTGCTTGAGCAATTATAACTAAAGAAGACGTACAAAGTCGTTGTCAATGTGTTTTTCACAGTTTTTTTCTTTTTTCCTCTCCAAATAATCAAAATGCAGTTTTGGCAAACTTATCTTCCCGGCGGAAAAAGCACTGCAATACCATTCATAAGCAATTTAATTATTTTTTTAACCTCGTTGTTGTTTTGCCTCAAGTAAATAAACATGAAAAAATACAAAAACTTAAAACCGATGCATCCATTTTTTTTACCAAATCGAAGTAACTTTAACACACAAACTTTCCCATAACGCCAAGATTTACCAAAAAAACAGAGAAAAAAATGTGGTCTTTTTTCACGGCATAAAAATACTTGGTTAACCTTATCTCGGCAAAAACACACAAAACATCGCCAGTATGTTGTTTATTATGACCAAAAAGTTATGGCTGGCGCACTGCAGGCTAGCATGATAAAGTCTCCCCGTCTTTTTAACTTTCACCTGCACGGCGGATAAAAGCGCTGAATTACCATTCATGTATTTTTTATATTAAGAAATGCAACATAAAATCGGTTTTGCCTCAAAAAGTCGAGTTTTTGAGCATTTCAGAACAAAAAACACTGAAAACCTGGATGGACACATGCAAAGTCTTTTTACCGCTGCAAACTTTTTAATTCAAAACACTCGTCTTATTACCATTTTATTTACCATATTTCATGTTTTGCTTCAATTTTCGTAAAAATTTTCAAAAAAGGGAGTGAAAAAATAAAACGAGTCTTATATAGCTTGTTCGACGGGGACTCTAAAAACAACTGGGAGTGGAGACACTCAACTTCTAGAACTGTGGCAATTCCACATGTTGTTTATCAGTTTGGCCACAAAATGCAGTTTTGAACGAATGAGGAATCCGTTCGTAGGGGGTGTGAAATTAAGGTGCACAATCTCTTTCGTAAAAAAAGCGTGAATAGTTCAATCCATAGTCCGGCAAATAGAATTTCATTTTATTTTTTACATAGAAAGTTTATAACTTGCGGCAAATGAAGCGAAAAAAATACCAATTTTTTGTTTTTCGTTTTGTTAGTTACTCAAAATGTAATTCAGAAAAATCTTTAAAAACTATTTTGGGTTTTTATTAAAACAATTGTATTATTTTTAACATTATTTTTATAAATTAATATTTTACTATATATTTACAATTAAAAATTACTATATATTAACATGAAAAAACAAAACTCATATGAGATAAATTAAAAACGTCCGTTTTAAATAAAATGAATTTTATTTTTTTGTTTAAATTTATTTTCATTTTTAAAATAATAAATTTATTCAATATCATAAATATTAAAAATGTTAAAAAATAATAAATAATATTAATAATTATTATTATATAATTATTATTATTATTATAAAAAATACCAATTTAAATTAAATTTGATAAAAACATCTATAATAAACATGATGAATTTTGTTTGTTTTATTTAAATATCATTATTACTATTGATTAAATTATTAATTTATTATATAACAACAATAACAATAATATTTAAAAAAATTAACTATTATGAAATAATAATATATTAATGAAAAAACAATAACAACAATAATTTTAAAATAAATATAAAATGAATAATATAACTACAAAAAATAAAACAAAAAAATGACTATACGTTATAGTAACAACAAATGGTTTTGGAACAATATGGACAAAGGATTTATTAAAGCAGAAAAAGGAAACGAAAATTATTATTATTGTGTTATATGCGAAAAGTGGCAAACACTTGGAGTGAAAAACATTCATAAATGCCACGAGTCTACTGTCATTGTGTACAATAAAGAAGAGGCTTTAGCATTTATAGACCCCTCTAATAAACATCCAACACTTCCAATCAACAACAAAATTATCAAACGAGACGATATAACACAAACTCTGCTCCAGAAAAACAATCCAATTACAGAGAACGACTCGATCTTTCAAATTTGTCAATGAACAATTATCCAATGAACACTGATTGTTTGACCAATTTAAACACATTGACTTTAAACGCATCAACACATATTGAAAATATTTCAATGTTACAAATAACAAACACAACATTGTGTCCACTTACTTTTCCACGAATAGAAACTTTACTGCCAAACAATCCAACAGTTTCCTTATTCAACATTCCATCTTCGGCAAGTAATATTGTACCAATTAATTCTAACACACCCTCTGCGTTCAAATATAGTTCTTCTATGTTCTCAATCATTCCATCAGCATTTGGTCTGCCTCAGAATACACCTGAAAATATAAATGACATATTACAAAGTAAATTGCAACATGAAGAAAGGTGTAATCAAATTACATCGACAAGAGGAATTTATAATCAAAATCAAGATCATTTATCAAATGCAATTTCTCCACTAACACCAAATCCATTAAATGATTCATCAACAACTGAACACCATATTGAAATTGAGTCTCAAAATTCAACATGTGAAGTACCAGAACTTGAAAACTTTGTTGAAAAACTGTTCATTTTTAACGACGGTGTTTTTGCATTATACACTGTAATTCCCTTTAGTGAATACGATGAAGAGGAAATACCAAGACACTTAATTCAATTTTGCAAAGCTCCAATTGGAATCGATATGATTAAATTTAAAGGAGCCTGTGACTTGTTGTTTTCTGATACAACAAAGGACGAAAAAGTTACAACACAACAACAACGAAAAAAGTTCTAACTCATAAACAAAAAGTTGTTCAAAACGTCATAAATCATTTGACAACCAAATACAAATTTTCTGAAACATGTTGTTCAATATTGAAACAATCGTTTGTGATTTCTTCATCCCAATTGACTCCAGAAGCAGTTGATATATATAAAAAACTTGCAGTTAGTTTTAGAAGTGCACGTCGTCGACTTAAAAGCGAAAATATTATAACCTCGAAGCAACTTATCGAAGATGTTAGAAATTGTGTTTGTTTTGCAAATGCAACTGATACATATAAAAAGGATGGGATAACATTTGTTGCAATTTTTATACGTGTGTGTATGAAATTTGATTTTTATGAGTGTCCCCTTTTATTTTCAGAGTATTATGGAGAAAGTGATGGTGAATCAATGTGCGAATGGATTTTTAACGCACTTGCTTTTGATACAAACAAAGAAGTGTTGTTCCCATTGCGCAAATTTATTGGAAGCACACAAGATGGTGCATCAGAAAATATGGGGTGTGATAACGGCATGATTAAACACATGAAAATGAAACTGGTTCCGATAAAAAATCCAGAAGGAAATATAATTGAAAGAAAGTTTTATGGAGTACACTGCCTTGCTCACAGATGTAACTTGTTTGCCCAAGATGTAGGTATGGAATCACCATTCGATATAGTGACAACATTTATTAAATGGTTGTGTAACTCAACAAAGCTAAAAGAATAATACACGTTTTGTAATTCCAACAACACAAAAAATGTAAATTGTCCACTTACTCTGCAACAAGGTGGAACTATATGGCAAATTCTTCGTCGGCAATTCTGAAAAGTGAATCTTTGATTGAGCAATTTTTACAAGACGAAGAACAACAAGCAGATGTATTTGGCGAAATGGTCTATAAACAAATTCAAGAATTCGACGTTGAAATGCAAGATTATATCGAAATATTTTCTTTGAACAACTCCTATATTCATTTTAGTGTGTGTTTGTTCAATGATATTTATACACTTATAAACAAGCTGTGTATTGAATCACAAACAAGTCTTTGTATACTTCCTGACCTTATTGAAACCACAAAATGTTTTGGAGTTTACATTGATGTTATTATTAAATCAGTCAGAGAATCAATTGAAAATAAAGCAGAACTTAATGAGTGTTTTTTCCCAAAAACTTCAAAGTGTTTAAATAATCCGTCAGTTGTACTTCAAGTTCTGATGAAGCTTAGATTTCAATTTCTATTGAGCTATTTTAATTGTGATCAAACAATTAATGTTAACACAAAAACGCAAATTAGTAGTTATAGTAGGTCACCTCTCTCGAACTCGCAAAAATCGCACACTATTAAAATCACTTTATTAGGGTTTTTTTAACTTTTTGGACCCCCCTTTTTAACACACAGTGTTATCCTACAGCGATTTTTCAATTTCAAAACCTTCGAAAGCCCCAAAGGATGAAACAGTTTTTATTATCGATTTTCCTGGTTTTTGCGAAAAATTTGTTCAAAAATCGTGAAGGATTAACCATCATTTATATGGGTTTTTACGACATCCTTTTTCAAGGTCGAATGACATAAAATTGCCTACAATTTGCTCATTTTACACTAAAATGTTGTTTATTTTAAAATTTATATAAAATTAAAAATTTGAGGTAATATATGTTAAAATAAACATAAATTAGTATTTTAATAATAATTGCAAAAAGTTGCGAGTTCGAGAGAGTCGACCTACTATAACTACTCTAAGTGAAACCCAAAAGTTCGAGAGAGGTGACTTAGTATAGTTTTGAAAATATTTTTAAAAATAAATTTTGAACAAGACTAGAACATAAACTAACATAATAAGGAGAACCGAAACGAAGTGAGGTTCCAAGACCAACAACGTAGTAAGGACAAAGTCTGAATTTCCGGACCTCGACTTTATAGTTTAAAATAAATTAGAAATGAGTTTTAGAGAAGGAATTGATATTAAACAAAAACAAATTAATGAACATCAAAAAAGAAGAATGCGACATAGAGAACAACTTGTAAATCAAAAACGTAATAAAATATTTATGGAGAACATACCTTTTAATAATTTGACAATTGATTATCCATTTAAGAGTTTAAATAAATATGAATCAATTTTGAAGAAAGATGTTAATAAAAAACAAATAATTAGTCGTGACTTCAATCCAAAAACCATGAAGAAACTTTATTCAAGACCTTATTACTCTCCATATTTTAATAGTTATGAAGTCGATTTAGCTTTCTTTGATTCCTGAAACAGCACCAAACAAAATATCTACATGTTCATTATTAATATTAACACAAAATATTTATATGTATTTTCACTTTATAATAAAAACAATGACAGTTTAATAATGCCTTTTAATACTTTACTTAATGTTGGAGTTGTTTTTGATAACAAACATTTTGATGGTGAATCTGCATTGAACAGCACTTATATGTCAAATTATTTCAATAAATTTAATATAAGAACATATTCATCTTCATCCAAACATATTAATAAAAACAGAGTTGTAGATCGAGTTATCAGAACAATTAGAACTGCTTATGATAATACAATGTCGAGATATGTAAACAAAAATCAAGATATACTTATTCAAGAAATTGTTACTTACTATAATTTTTCAAAACATAATAAAACTGGTTATCGACTTATTGATATGCAATACATACCTAATTACAACAATACGTATAAATGCTATCAACTTGAATATAATTATTTTAAACAAATGGTTAAGAAGAATGATGAAATATTATATAAACAATTTAAAAATGGATTTTTATCTTATAAATATGAAGACAAGTTAATAATATTTTTGGATAATAGTAAAGACAATACTTTCAGAAAGACAAGAAATTATTTTAGTACAAAAGCAACAATGATAAGATATGATCATGGTAACATAATATGTAAACTTGATGATAATGATAAAATTGTAACAATTCCATGTTATTTTGCACTTCGTGATTGCATCTAATTCAATATTACTAATAAAGTCGAATCGAATACAATCTATGTGAAGCTCATTTACAATTTGTTATTCATGTATATGTTTATTTTTGTTCTATAAAATGAGAAAACTATACATGAATTTACATAATAATAATTGTAAAGTAATAAATACATATCAATTTGAAGTTGAATTACCAATTGAATTTGTTTGTTCTACTAATAATAAATATATTAATACTATTGCTACTAGATTCTATAATTCATATGGTCAGATTGATTGTGGAAATATTTTAAGAAGTGATTTGAATTCTAGTAATGATTATCCTTCACAAGATGGATTTATAATTTACAAACAGTGATAATCAAAAATCATTTGAAATCAAAGATAATAAACGAAAAATAAAAATATGGTTTACTGATTACAATAATAATAAAATCAATATTGATTCAGATTATTATTTTATATTACAGTTAGAATTAGTGTTTTAAACACTATGTATTCTTGGTGTTATATTTGTTGATAATATTTTTTGTTCTTTTAATTTGAATAATCTCTTTTTAAACAAATATGAAAATATTTTTAATACTGTAATAAATATTATCAGAAATATAAATGATAAGAATGAAGCTAATTCTACTATTTTTTCTAATTCAACCATTTAGTGTTTTAAAAAACACATTATGGAATCTTCGATTATGTTAGTGATTTAAAAAATTACCATAAATCGTTTCTAGAATTATAATTATTATAAACAGTACTTGATTCAAAAATATCATAAATTGTAGTTGTAGTAGTTCTTCCAAATGAATTAATAATATATGTTTTATAATCTGTAAAATTAGATTCAGCTTTGGATGACATATATATATATTTAGTGAAGAACCTTGACATATTTCTGTAATAGATGATGTATTTGTTATTTGTAAATTTGGCTCTATTAGATATATCTGATTACTATCTATAGTTATATTATTCCACATTAAATTTGGATTACTTCCCGAATAATTAATACCAGGATAAAATAAATTATTAAGATTACAATACAAATAAACACATATTGGTTTAGTTGTTATTGATAATAAATTACTATTTGATGTAAAATTCTTTCGTAAATATAAACTGAAATAATTAAAACAATAATATCCATCACCCCAAAAATAACCAACTTTATCTGGTATTATTATTATTGGATGCTCATTTATATTAAATAGATTTTGTACTGTTGTTTATATTTTTCCATTCAACATACTTTTGCCACAAACTTGTTCAATATCTTTATAAATTTCATTATTATTAATTACATATGGAACTACCTTTACTATTCTATTTGTTGTTAAGAATTCTGTAACATTATCAATTTTTATTCTAAAATATGCAGTTTTATCAGTTTCTGATTTAATAGAATAAGTATCATTTTTATATGTTGTCACATCTTGCGAAAATATATTTGGATATGAATATATTATTTTTGGAGTTGGTATTGAAGCTATTTTTGTATCTGTGTACGCATTACATGTTGAACCAACATTGTCGCTGTAAGAGTTACACGCTGAGGCAATCATATCACTATAAGAATAACATGATGAACCATTATAACCGTAACTTTTATATTTATTATAATATGTTAATATTTCAGAATTTACATAATCAGTAGAAGAAATATCTTTTGTATTTATACTTACTGTTCCATCTATGCTTGTAATTTTATCAGTTTTAATTTCATTAGATGTTATTGTTGAAGGATTAAAATATGATGTGCAAAAAATACTATTTTTACTTTTATCTTGATAAGTTGTTGAAAATACTTCCATTTATTACTAAAAATAAAGATTAAATATATTATTTATTTGAACATAGTATTTAAATCAACATTAGTAAGTAGTTCAACCTTATTTGGTGATAATGACCACATAGCATCATTTAATAAAATAATATTAATAGCATTAGTATTAACTGAACCAGTAGATCCACTTGGTTTAATATATGGATTATAATCTCCAAACATACGTATTGCTTGTAATGTTAATTGAATATTCGAAGTACTATATATACCATCGAAGAAACATCCAGATCATATCTTTATAATGGAATTGACATCATAAAATCAGTAGCATCACTTAAATATTTAATATGTTTAGATGAATCATTAGTATTTTCAGAATATTCATTAAACGTTAAACTATTAATTATAGATTGAGGAGTTGCAAATAATGTATCAAAATTGGTATTTGCTAATTGGAATTCACTAAATTCACTTGACAATGTATCCATTTGTTGATCTGGTATAGTTCTGTTTGCTGTTATAACTTTAATATCACTAATATGTGGATTTTTAGATACAGTACATTGATTATTAGATCTTGGGAATAAGAAGAATAACAAAGATGTATTTAGATAACTCATCATGTTTGAACAATTAATTCTAGAAACAGATTGATTTGGTGGATAATCATATTCAGTTGTTATTTGAGCTGGAACATATAAAGGATGTTTACTGTATCTATCAAATAATTCTCTTAAAACTGAATCCTTAACATTAAAACCATTAATAACAGATTGTAAAAATGTGCAAGTAGATTCCATAACTTGAATAGTTCCATAAAATTGTGAATAACTATTTCCAGTTGAGAAATAACAATAACATAACATCATAGCCTTATCACCACATTGAGTAAATTCTTTTGTTAAGCCTTTCTTAAAATCAGCTAACATTGATATTTGAGAATCTGAGTTATGATTCTCATTATATTCAGTTATTAACACATCTG